CAGGATCATTTATTTCCTCCCTTGTTAAAAATGCAAAAGCAAACTATTCACATGGCCACTTTTCAAAATGAAAAGGCCAATAAAGTTATTAAAAGCAAATCACATTTGATTAAATTATTATCATTATGGTGTTTAAAATAGCATTTGTTCTGTTTATCAAGTTCCACTCTTACAGCATCAGTAAAGAATTTGCCTTTAAAGACCAGAAAAACAACAACACAGAAATGAAGCCCAGTGTGTGCTCTGAAGCTGGATCTTGGGTTATTTTTCACGAGGTCTTTACAACAAGCCTGTGCTGCAGGAGCTCAGACTTCCAGACGACCAGTTACACACATTAAGGGCAGTTGGGTTGAGATCATCAAAGGATGTGAAGGAGATGGAAGGAGGAGAAAAGGAAATGCAGATATTGTGAACCCCAAAGCAAAGTCTGGTTTTACATTTGCCTGGCAGTTGTTTCACTTTAATGACATATTTAGCAAGCTGACTTCACATAACTATGTGTTATGTGGTCTTCTTAAATGTATAATTTCTTCCCGACAACAAAAAAGATTGGTTGTAGGCATTACTCGAAATAAAGGCAAAGAAAGTTTTTCAGTTTGTACACGGCCAACATCAGCTTTATCTCTAAAGTTTAGGAATTGGCAATCTTAAAGTATGTTATAATGAGCTTGACTATGACTGGTCATAACTGGAGAGACAGGTATTCATCAGATGTGGACCCGATATGTGCCTAGAGACACCATGCCAATTGTGATGACTGGTCAAGAAGGGCAGCTAGGAGCTCCAAAAGCACTCCTTCTACCAGGTGTACCAGTTAATAACGCGAATTTTTTTCAATAGATGGAGTTACACATATGTTGATATATATGCGATTTGATATGTATGCTGTTTTGTTGTATTGACAGCAAGCTTCAAAACTTCATATGACACATTTGCTGAAGGTGTTAACATCATAGATATTTTTACGCTTAAAAATGTGGAATTTCGTGCCAACAAAAGAGCATTTGCCGGAAGTTTTAATTCATTATTTTGAAGAAAAGTGCTGCTGAAAGTTATCGTATACTTCAAGAAGCTTATGGTGAACATGCTCCATCTCAAGACACTTGTGAATGCTGGTTTAAACGCTTTAAAGGTGATGATTTTGATGTGAAAGACAACGTCCAGGTCAACTGAAAAAGTTTGAAGACCAACAATTACAAGCATTATTGGATGAAGATGCATGTCAAACTCAAAAACAACTTGCAGAAAGATTAAACTTTGCTCAGCAAACAATCTATGATCATTTACAAGCAGTGGGAAAGATTTTAAAGGAAGAAAAATGGGTGCTACATCAACTGAGTGAAAGACAAATGGAAAACCGAAAAGTCATCAGTAAAATGTTGCTTCAACGGCACGAAAGAAAGTATTTTTTTGCATTGAATTGTGACTGGCGATGAAAAGTGGATTTATTTTGAGAATCCCAAATGCACAAAATCATGGGTTGATCCAGGTCAACCATCAACATCGACTGCAAGGCCAAATCGCTTCGGAAAGAAGACAATGCTCTGCGTTTGGTGGGATCAGGAAGGTGTGGTGTATTATGAGCTTCTAAAACCAGGTGAAACTGTTAATACTGATGGCTACCGACAACAAATAATCAATTTGAACCACACTTTGATTGTAAAATGACAAGAATGTGCCAGAAGACATGGCAAAGTAATTTTGCTTCATAATGATGCACCATCACACACTTCAAAACCAGTTAAAGACACGTTAAAAGATCTTGCCTGGGAAGTATAACCGCCCCCCCCCCCCCCCTGCCGTATTCACCAGACCTTGCTCCTTCAGATCACCACTTGTTCCAATCGATGGCACACGCACTTTCTGAGCAGCACTTCAAAACGTATGAAGAAGTGGAAAATTGGGTTTCTGAATGGTTTGTTTCTAAACAAGAAAAGTTCTATTGAGACGGTATCCACAAATTACCTGAAAGATGGGGGAAATGTGTAGCTAGCGATGGACATTACTTTGAATAAAGCACTTTTGATGTTTCTCTTGAAATTATCATGTTTTCTTTGATTATAAAATCCGCATTATTATCCAGTACACCTGGTATACACACCATCTTGACCACCGGAGTACCTCCCCATGTCTTTTCCAGAACTCCTTGCCACCCAACAACTAAAGGTTGATGACTGGCACTCCTAGGTGTATCCATATATCCATTTGGATTAGTCAGGACCTGTGTCCCACTCATTGTTAAGTATTTGAATATCATAGATATCTATTTAGTATTACAAAGTCAAGTAAAAAGAATAGAGAGCTGTATTTCAGACACGAGGCTGCAGAGGGCCTGCGTGAGCCAGCAGGAGCTGCGCCACCTGTGGGTCTAGGTGAGTCTCAGCGCCACCGAGGCCGTGCAGGGGGTGCTGCTCGAAGGCCACCCGTCCTGGAAGTACCTGAAGGACATCCACTATCTGCTGGTGGAAGTCCAGCAGGCCCCCGGGATGTGAAGCTCAGGCCGCCCCCCCCCCCCCCCCCGCGTGGATGCTGTGCTGTCCCTCCTGAGTGCCCGGGGGCTGAGCCTGAAGCTGGTGTGGCCCAAAGCCCTGCTAGACAACTGCTTTCGGGTCGTGGAGCTGCTGTACTGCTCCTGCTGTAAAGAAACATCCGTCCCAAACTGGCAGGACTGGCAGGTGCCCAACCCTCAGCCCCACGGCCCGGAGCCCCTGCCGCAGTGTGTGGCCGCCTAGCTGTGCTCTCTGCCCCAGCAGCCCCGCTCGGGGTGCAAGGCCGCCGGGCTCACGCAGCTACTGAGGGCAGAGGCCTCCTGCCCAGCGGGAGGTGGAGGCGCTCGCACAGTCGGACTGGGCCTGAGAGGTCGCTGGGTGGTGGGGGGCGCCCCCCTTGGGAGATCCCCAGGGAGTGTGTTTTTCCTTTTGGAGGGGGGTGTCCTGTGGGGGGAAGGCTCGGCTCCCCACCCTTGGTGCCTCACAAGGTCTCTCGGGGAGTGGTGGGGGCCTGGGGGCACCTGGAGGCGAAGGAGCTCGCGGCCCTTCCTGGCACTGCCCAGGAGCTGTGCCGGGTGGGCAGGTGGGTGTGGCGGACACAGGACTCGGCCAGGCTGGGGATAGGGCAGAGCCAAACGCCGTATCTTGCCACAGTGGGTTCTCTGCCAGTTTATTTTTTTTCTATTAAACACCCACTTTATTTAAAAAAAATTTTTTTTTTTTCCATTTTACAGGACAGGAGCCCCTGTCACTTTACAGCTTTTTGGCACAGTCAGGGCAAAACACTTGCTCCTGATGGAAGACAAAGCGCTTGCTGGCCAGATTCAGGGAGCACTTTTTGCAGTGGAAGCAGTAGTCGTGCCAGGACTGTCCTTCATAGGTCACCACATTGGAGCCTTTACCAAACCCAGTGATGGGGTTCTTGCATCCAGCACACTTCTTAGCCACATAGTTCTTGTAGCAATCCACGCAGTAGTACTGGAAATGAATTTATGCCTATAACCCTTAAAAGATGTCAAGATAAGCCTAATCAAATTCAAGCAGAAATTTAGGAACATTTAATACTTTTTATCTATGTATTCTATTTATGCTTTTATAAATTAGTTTACTCTGGATATATTTGATAAAAATTTCATAAGGTTGCCACTTTGGATGGCTGCTATACACATGGAGAAACTCCAAGTCATAGTGTTTGACACCCACTGACAAAGGTCCTTGAACTAGCCAAACATCTTATGAATGTCTTACGGTATTATACCTTTGACAACCAGCCTTAAAAATATGAGGTAGATAGAAAAAAAATGGAACTTGACTCAGCCCATGCCATTTAGAAGAACACTGATATGTTTATAAGACCGGCAAAAACTATGCCAGGCCTATACATGTCCCAGGACCAAATTATGCTTTCCATAAATCCTAGAAAGTATTCAATACGTTCTGGGATTCAAATAGTAACATTACTTATTATTCTTTCTTTTTTGAGCACTTTACTTTGGAAAGAGGAATAAGAAGAGGGCTTCTGATGAGATGGTAACTGGGGATTTGGCCACTATCAAATGAGTGCATCTTGAGGTTTGAGCTGTGGACTTCAGCAGCCCAGCAGATGCCACTGGCTCACAGTCTCACTGAGTTCACCACCTTTGATTTTGTCACTTGGAAAATGGTAGCTGTACTGATGTTTGTGTGATTAGGGCATGGGAGTTAGAGGAGGCAGACATATTCTCTCTCCTACTCCTTTTAGGCTCCATGCTCCTTATCCCTAGTGTCTAGCATGTAGTGGGCATTTAGTAAATACCTGTTGAAATGATAAATATATTTAGAGATGAAATGTTAAGTCCTTTTTTCAAACCTCATGCTGATTCTTCTCCTTGGAGTGATTTTCTTTTTATTCTCTTTATGCAAACTCCTTCATACTTTTCATTTGTTTATTCATCAATTATTTACTGAGTGCCTACTCTAAGCCATACACCATGTCAGGCACTGGGATCCAGCTCTGAACAAGGCTTGGCTCAAAAGTCACTGCCTCTGAGAAGCTTTCCCTGGGTCTCTTAAGCAGAAGTTGCTATGTCCCATACTGTCTCTGCTGTTATAATATTTATTACATTGCATTCTAATCAGCTGTCTTGTTTTTCCTTTACTCTAAACTGTAATTTCTTAGAGGAGAGGAGAGGATTAAATCTTGATTATCACTATATTCTCCTAGCCATCAACATATTATTTGTGATTGTAGTAAATTGATTGCAAAAAAATGACCATAATTCTTCACATTTCCCTGTAGCCATGGCCTCTGCCATTTGATCTTACAGCTCCTACCACCAAGAAGTAGATCTTATTTTCCAACTCCTGGAATCTAGGATGGCCTTGTGACTTTCTCTGGCCAATAGAACATGGTATACCAGATATGAGCCTACATCTCAAGGAAGAACAGCCCTGATCTAGCTGGATGGATGATCAGAGGTCCATGGCTTGATTGCCTTTGTTTCCCCAGCTAATAGCCAAATGCTAAATATGTGAGGAAGGCTATCTTACACCAACAGACTTCAGCCTACTCACCAGATGAACACAAATAGATGGTTGTGCCCTGATAAGATATGCTGAGACGGGCTCAGATCAACCAACTATTCAACTGATCCATTAAACTCATGAACAATAATAATATTGTTTGAAGCCATTGAGTTTTGGTGTGATTTATTTCACAGCAATAACTGATAGATTGGCATTCCTTCTTTTAATTTGTGCTTTCTCCTTGCACATGAACAACAACAACAAAAGGTTGTTTATACAGTTGACTAGAAAACTTAGCACTTTGGGGAAAATCAGTCAATTCCTTGACTTTCTGAAATTAGCTACTACCAGACTGGGCCCTGATAAAGATGATGGACTGACTGAATGTTAGAGCTGAAAATGCTATAGTGGTTATCTTACCCATACACCCCTTCCCCAATTTCTTAAAAAGAAAAGTGAGCCAAGAGAGGTGGTGTAACTTACGCAAAGTTACTTAACCTTTTACAAAGTGCAGTGTCAATCCCAGTCCATTTTGGTGTGGTGCCAGAAGAGAACCATAGGTCTCCACAGCTATAGCACATTTCTCACCTCTCAACCAAGCTTTGATAACTGAAGTCTTTCATTTATCTT